AAACTATGAAGCTCAAAAACCCCAAACAGAGCAAACATAAAGAAATCCAAGGTACCTCATAATCAGATCGCCAGAAAACCAGTGATCAAGATCAAAAGCTTTCAAAGCAGCCAGAAGAAAAGACACATTACAGAGGAACAAAGTTACTAATAACAGCGATTCCTGGTCATATCATCTGGTCATATCATGTGAACCAGAGGCAACAGAGTGACATTTTCAAAGTACTGAAAGAAAAAAACCTATTAGCTTAGAGTTCTGTACCCAGCAAAAATGTCTTTCAAAAATGAAGGATAAATATTTATTTATTTCAAAAGTAAAGAAATTTTTAGGCTGGGCACAGTGTCTTATGCCTGTAATCCTAGCACTTTGGAAGGCCAAGGCAGGCAGATCACCTGAGGTCAGGCATTTGAGACCAGCCTGGCCAACATGGTGAAACCTTGTCCCTACTAAAAATATAAAAGTTAGCTGCATGTGGTGGTGGGCACCTGTAATCCCAGCTACTTGAGAGGCTGAGGGTGGAGGGTCGCTTGAACCCAGGAGGCAGAAGTTGCAGTGAGCTGAGATCGTGCCACTGCACTCCAGCCTAGGTGACAGAATAAGACTTCATCTCAAAAATAAATAAAAACAAAAGAGAAACTTTTAGACCAAGAGATGTCAAGATTTATTGCCAGCAGAATGGTACTAAAGGAATTTAAAGGAAATTCAGATAGAAAATATTCGATGGGAAAATTATATATATATTGTTTATATATGTATATAAAATATATATACATATTATATATATATATGTACCATATATATGTATATATATTTTATATATGTGTGTATGTGTGTACATATGTATTTGTATGAGAAAAGGTCTCACTCTAGTGCCCAGGCTGGAGTGGAGTGGGTGCGATCTCGGCTCACTGCAGTCCCTGTCGTCTCCTGCCTCAGCCTCCTGAGTAGTCGGGACCACAAGTATGTGCCACTATGCCCAGCTAATTTTTGTATGTTTTATAGAAATGGGGTCTCACTATGTTGCCCAGACTGGTCTCGAGCTCCTGATTTCAAGCAATCCACCCACCTCAGACTCCTAAAGTGTTGGGATTACAGGTGTGAGGCACTGCGCCCAGCCTTAAATAGTTTCCATCTGGGGCCAGGCATGGTGGCTCACACCTGTCATCCCAGGACTTTGGGCAGGAGGAGAGGGCAGATCGCTTGAGCTCAGGAGCCTGAGGCTGCAGTGAGCTATGATCATGCCACTGCACTCCAGCCTGGGTGACAGCGTGAGACCCTGTCTTAAAGGGAAAAAAGTGGTAAAGTCGACAAAGCTCCAGTGAAACTGTTAAGGAAGAAAAAAGAGGTATAAATAACTAAATGAAATGAAAAAGGTGAAAACACTATGGATTCAGTAGACTGTTAAGGTATCATAAAAGGATATTGGAAGTAGCATCATGCTATATACATCTGAAAGTTTAGATGAAATAGACAAATCTCTTTCAAAATGTAACTTAACTAAAAGTGACTGAAGAAGAAATAGAAAACCTTAGCCAGTCCTATAACTACTAAAAGTGTTTAGATTTTTTAAAAAGTATGATTGAAGGAATGCTGGGAATGTGTGTAAACAACATACACATGTTGTCATGTGTTACCTTGGTTGACCTATACAGTTTCTTGAGCACAAGATTAAAACCCATTTCTGAATATGTGATTGTATCAATGAGGGCTCTTTCTGATGTAAATGTTAAGAAAATCAACCTGGGCTGGGTTTTTTTTTTTTTTTTTTTTTTTTCTTGAGACAGAGTCTCCCTCTGTCGTCAGGCTGGTATGCGGTGGCGCAATCTCAGCTCACTGCAACTTCCGCCTCCTGGGTTCAAGTGATTCTCCTGCCTCAGCCTCCTGAGTAGCTGCGATTACAGGTGTGCGCCACCAGGCCCAACCATTTTTTGTATTTCTAGTAGAGATAGGGTTTCACCATGTTGGCCAGGATGGTCTTCATTTCCTGTCTTTGAGATCTGCCTGCCTTGGCCTCCCAAAGTGCTGGGCCTACAGGTGTGAGCCAGCACACCTGGCCAACCTTAGCTATTTGAAGTAAATAAAAGGAAGGTTTATTGATCATCCAACTGAAAAACCTAAGTCAGGGCTGACTATAGATGGTTCAGTTGGGCCAGTTTCCTCCCCAGTGTCTTCCTCCATGTGTTCATGTTCAGGTTCTCTGGGAAAGAGTGAGAATCTCTTTAAGTCCAATAGTGAGAAGAGGAGACTCATTAATTCTGACCTGGGTTGTATGTTCAGAGATGAACCAGCTCTGGGCAGGGGAATAAGATGCTCTGAATGACCAGATGCAAATCATAGGCTTTGCCCAGGCCCAGGGGTTGGAATCAATGCCTCTGGAGGACTGACCTAGGAATTTATACCTGACAAGAAGTCAGGGTACAGAAACCATGGGGAATGTGAACAGATATTTGGCTACAAAATTAAATCTTCATTGCAGTATTTCCCAGATGTACAATTTCATGAATTCTTTATTCAAAATTATTATAAAATTCTATAATAAAGGATTCTTAGTTGGCCAGGTGTGGTGGCTCATGCCTGTAATCCTAGCACTTTGGGAGGCCAAGGCGGGAGGATTGCTTGAGACCAGGAGTTTGAGACCAGGCTTGGGCAACATAGTGAGACCCCATCTCTTAAAAAAAAAATTTTTTTTTTTTGAGATGAAGTCTCACTTTGTTGCCCAGGCTGGAGTACACTGGCGCAATCTTGGCTCACTGTAACCTCCGCCTTCTGTGTTCAAGAGATTCTCCTGCCTCAGCTTCCTGAGTAGCTGGAACTGCAGGCATGTGCCACCATGACTGGCTAACTTTTTATTTTTATTAGTGGCAGGGTTTTACCATGTTGGCCAGGCTGGTCTCGAACACCTGATCTCAGGTGATCTGCCTGCCTCAGCCTCCCAAAGTGATGGAATTACAGACTACAGGCATGAGCCACTGCTTCCAGCCTAAAATTTTTTTTTTAAATTTGCTGTGTATGGTGGCATGTGCTTGTAATCTTAGCTACTAGGGAGGATCTCTTGAGCCCAGGAGTTTCAAGGCTGTAGTGAGCCATGATTGTGCCACTGCACTCTAACCTGGGTGACAGAGGTAGACCATGTCTCAAAAAAAAAAAAAATCTTAGAATACTATTATATCTCTGTTCAGTTAGTAGGAATTAAAAAGTCTAACAATTGTTGAAAAAGTTAAGCAACAGAAACTCTCTCATACCCTTCTGATGGGAGTGTACATTACAACTGCTTTGGGAAATAGTTTGGCTTTACTGTATAAGCTAGCAGTCATATTTCCAGATATGTGCACTAGAGAAATATATGCCTAAAGTGCTTGAGATAGCTGTATCAGAAAAATCTTAGTAGTGTTTTCATTTGCTCCAAAGCAGAAACCACACTAGAGGATGAGAATGGTTAACTAAATTGTGGCATATTTACTGAGCAGACTATTACACAGCAATGAAAACAAACTACAGACACAGTAACAACCAAGAAGGGAAAGAAAAAAGCAAGACAAGAATATATGTAGCAATCCACCCACCTCATTGATTCTGTTTATTTTCATCTGCTTCTGGATTTTATATAAATTACGTTTGGTCGGGCTGCACACCTAGGCGATAAATCTCTAAAGAAAAGTTAGGAAATGATAACCATACAAGTTAAGGCACAGTAGCTCATGCCTGTAATCGCAGCACTTCGGGAGGGTGAGGTGGGAGGATCACTTGAGCCCAGGAGTTCCAGACCAGTCTCGGCAACATAGGGAGATCCAGCCTCAAAAAATAAAAATAAAAAAATTATCTGGGTGTGGTGGCATCCTCCTGTGGATCCAGCTACTTGGGAGGCTGAGGTGAGAGAATTGCTTGAGTCCAGGAGGTCGAGGCTGCTGTGAGTTGCCATTGCATCACTGCGCTTCAGCCCAGATGACAGAGCAAGACCCTGCCTCAACAAATCAAATAAAAACCATTTTGTTGGCCAGGCGCGGTGGCTCAAGCCTGTAATCCCAGCACTTTGGGAGGCCGAGGCGGGTGGATCACGAGGTCAAGAGATTGAGACCATCCTGGTCAACATGGTGAAACCCCGTCTCTACTAAAAATACAAAAAATTAGCTGGGCATGGTGGTGCATGCCTGTAATCCCAGCTACTCAGGAGGCTGAGGCAGGAGAATTGCCTGAACCCAGGAGGCGGAGGTTGCGGTGAGCCGAGATCGCGCCATTGCACTCCACCCTGGGTAACATGAGTGAAACTCCGTCTCAAAAAAAAAAAAAACCGTTTTATTAAGGGAGTACTTATGCATGTGGTGGAAGGGGTTTGGGGTCAGAGAAAAGCGCCCGGTCTTTCAGGAGTTCTGGAAATGCTCCATCCCTTGGCCTTGGTGGTAATTAGACTGGTATTTATATAATAATTTAATGAAATTGTATATATATGCTTCCTGTACCTTTCTCTAAGTAAGTAATACCTCCTGGTAAAAGCAAATTTTAAAATAGTTTTTATAATGCATATTCCATTTAAAAATGTGGAAAATCTCCAAAACACATGCATGTACAGTAGTTAAATATGTTTAATCTTAAATTTCTTCATGTTATAGAAATTTACATTTTGAAATTTTATTTTTATTTATTTATTTGAGATGGAGTCTCACTTTGTCGCCCAGGCTGGAGTGAGTGCAGCAGCATGATCTTAGCTCACTGCAACCTCCACCTCCCAGGTTCACACTATTCTCCTGCCTCAGCCTCTCTAGTAGCTGGGATTACAGGTGTGTGCCATCACACCTGGCTAATTCTTGTATTTTTAGTAGAGATGGGGGTTTCACCATGTTGGTCAGGCTGGTCTCAAACTCCTGACCTCAGGCGGTCTGTCCTCTTCAGCCTCCCAAAGTGCTGGGATTACAGGCATGAGCCACTGGCCTTGAAATTTCATTTTTAAAAGCTCTAAATATTTTCCAGATGAGAATTGACCAAATATTATTATTATTTTCTAGGTAAGGGACTCTACTGCAGTAATTAAAGAAGGATAAGGTTGGCGTTGCTTCGCTTCTTTTTTTATTGAAGTCCTTCCTGATCAAGCGTCCATATTTCTCCTTAAAGCATATGACACACAGGTATGCCACTAGAAAATTTTAATTTGTGTAGATTTCTTTCTTCAGCTGTTAATTTTTCATTTTGCATAAAAATCAAGTAATTAAATTGTAAAACATCCTGAACATATTCATTGTTAGCTTTAGCACTTTCATTCTTCAGCAGATGTATTTGACTTTCTACATACGTGGCACTTTGTTTTGGTTTGTGTCTGACCTTATTTTTATTTTTCATTTTTTTTCAAACCAGTATTAAACTGAAAATAATAGACATTGTAACCTGATGGCCCGAATGAGTGAATAAGTTGGAAAACCAAGAGTAGTGGCCTGTACCTCTTTGTGAAAGGCCTGCTTTCTGAAATCTTAGACCTACCCTTCCCTAGAAGGTGCCCACTGCAGGCAGCTGGGGGTGTGGCCTGCCTCATGGAGTATTACATTTTTTGATACAAGAACATTTGCTCCTTAACCATCTTTCTCTAGGAGTTTGAAAGAAAATAAAATACTGTGTTTCAATCTCTTAATTTGTGACTGGGTGGCTGAGATGGGAGGATCTCTTGAGAGTTTGAGCCCAACCTGGGCAACATAGTGAGACGCTGTCTAAAAAAATAAAATAATTAACTGGATGTGGTGGTGTGTGCCTGTAGTCCCAGCTACTTGGGAGGCTGAGGCAGTAGGACCACTTGAGCCCAGGAATAGGAATTTAGGCTGCAATGAACTAGGATCATGGCACTGCACTCTAGGCTGGCCATAGACCAAGACCCTGTCCCTTAAAAAAAAAAAAAATAGGGCTGGGTGCGATGGCTAATGCCTGTAATCCTAGCACTTTGGGAGGCCAAGGCGGGTGGATCACCTGAGGTCAGGAGTTTGAGACAAGCCTGGCCAACATGGCAAAACCACATCTCTACTAAAAATACAAAAAATTAGCCAGGCATGGTGGCAGACACCTGTAATCCCAGCCAGGAGGCAGAGGTTGCAGTGAGCTAAGATTGCGCCATTGCACTCCAGCCTGGGCAACAAGAGCGAAACCCCATCTCAAAAATATATATATAATAATAAATCTTTCATATGTTAGAACATTAATATAAGTATAAAAAGTTTGAAATGTTTGCTTCCAAAATGAGATTTAATACATAGCTATTTTTCATAAATTGAGAAGTGTCAAGAAAACTGCTGTTCAAATTTCATTTATAATCATAGTATCATCATAGTACCATTCAGTTTTCCCCAATAGTGTCTGGTATTTTTAGTTTGTTTGAAGCAGGGTCCAAATAATTGCAGTTAGGTGATATGTCTGTTGAGTCTCTTAATCAATAGAATACTTTTCCCCATCTCTGTTTTCCTTGCATTTTATTTGTTGGAGAATCCTGGCTGATTGTCCAGTAATCAGAAGTTCCCCCACTCTGGCCTTTGCTGTTTCCACTGGACATGTTCTTCTGCCTCTGGGTGTCTGTAGAGGTCCGTTCCTTCTGGCTCAGCCTTTCAGCACAGGCGCTTCAGAGGTGCATGGCACCCTCACCAGGAGACACACATCTGTACAGATGTGAGATCCAGTGTTGTTTTTTTTTCCCTTTTGTCATTTTTATTTAAAAGACACAGGATCTTGCTATGTTCCCCAGGCTGGTTTTGAACTCCTGGCCTCAAGCATTCCTCCCACATTGGCTTCCCAAAGTATGCTGCAGGCATGAGCCATGGTGCCTGGCAGATCCAGGATTTTTTGAAATCTCATGTTTTATTCTAACAATTGATCAACACATTATAATCTGCCTCTCAGTGTGACCATGTTTTATGCTTTTCACTTCTTCAAATATAGTTGATACTCCAGGAAGATGAACCTTGTCACACTTACAACTTCTACCCCTTACACAGTCCCGGGGCTCCAGCCCCGTGTGGCGGGCATGGCCTTGGGGCGGCCTCCATCTGGAGAGGTGCTGCCTGTGCTTGGTTGCATGTTGAGTGGACTTAGCCCTTGGCTCTTCTCCCTGCTTCCTGTCCAGATGGCAGGACTCTGGCCCTGGGCCAGAAGAGGCACAGTGCCTTTGCATATAGTAAGGGTTGAATGAATACTTTTTAAAAATCCTAACTTGTATGAACCAAGGGATACTGACAATGTTGGGCCCCAAATGACTGTGGTTTTCTTGAAGGCTTTAAGACCATGTCTTATACTGTGATTTAATCAGGTTCTTTCCTAGGTGTCTGCCTGAGTCACTTGGTCTGTGTGTCTCCCCCTCCGTGTCCTAAGGGGGCTTTTCATGTGTGACTGTGATCTGCCTATCTGTCTGGTCAGAATCCAGCCTCCCGTCACTTGCCCAGGGTGCTTCCCGCAGTGGAGCATTTGGCATCAGGTATCAGGAACAGAGTCAGTATGCTGAAATGTTTGCATGAATATGGATTTTCGGAAAGCCTTGTTATCAGCAGGGCACACCTGTCTGCTCATGATCTTTGCCCTTCTCCCTTTATTGGCATCATTTGGATGATACCTCTAATTGCCCTGCTGGGCTGGATGTGGAGCTGCCTTTCCCCAAGTGTGTCATTGCTGTCTTGCGGCAGGAGACTTTTGCTTTGTTTATCTGTTGCTTCTCTTTTTTGGTTTTCCCCGGGCTTTCCAGCTTTTGGAGCACCCTTTTGTCAGCAGATGTACTTTTGTTTCCAGTTTTTAAATTCTAACTAAAATGTAGTTCAACTAAAATCATAGAAATAGGGAACATAAATCATTAGTGTAATGGAGGCAGAGAAGAAAGTAAAAGGGATCCAGTCCACCCCTTTGCCATACTGGGTATAGATCTGCCTCACCTGTGAGCGAGGGCCTTCCCAAGTAGCTGACGAGAAACTACACTTTCATGAAGTAATTCTCTCAAATTAGAGATGCCTTTCCTTTGGTTAAAAACGAGACCTCAAAATATAGTAAATTCGTGTCTAGAACTGTAGCAAACAGTAAGTAATAGAGTAAAAATTCTGCTTAAAGAAGGCTGTAGAATAACAGTTGCAGACTGGGTGTGGTGGCTCACACCTGTAATTGTAGCACTTTGGGAGGCTGAGGTGGATGGATCCCTTGAGGTCAGAAGTTTGAGACCACCCTGGCCAACATGGTGAAACCCCGTCTCTACTAAAAATACAAAAAATAGCCGAGTGTGGTGGTGTGCACCTGTAATCCCAGCTCCTCAGGAAGCTGAGGCAAGAGAATCACTTGAACCTGGGAGGCAGAGGTTGCACTGAACCAAGATCACAGCACTGCACTCCAGTCTGGGCAATAGAGTGAGACTCTGTCTCAAAAAAAAAAAAAAAAAGTTGCGGAGCTCAGAGTGCCAGGTGCTGCTGCTCCTGGTGGTTCTGGTCTTGGCCCTTCCTCAGCTCCTCCAAGTGTACTGGCTTAGGGGCCGTTTTTCAGTCACACAGTTGCTTTCATTGTAGTTTTCTTAGCGCTGTCTTTGCTCAGTGGATCTGTTGTTGCCATTCAGCAGTCCATTTCTCTCTGTGTGGGAACAAACGTCCTCTTCTCAAACCTGGTGCTCAGGGAGGATAGGAAGTGGGCCATTAAATAGGCGGTCGCCTCGGGTTCCCAGCATGTATATGACCGCCATGCTAACCAGAGGCGCCTGTGTCCAGCATCTGAGCATTGGAACCTCCAAGGTGCTCCCGCAAATCAGGATGCCAAACATTAATTGGCAAGTCCCTAAAAGTTGCCTCAAATGCCATCTTTAATGTGTTTAACTGAATTTGCATAATTTTTCTTTATGAATACAATAATTATAAATATAGAATTGCCATTAACTTATAATGGTCATATCTAAATTTTAGGATAAAGATAGAATTTAACTATTTTTATGCCCATATATAGGCAATTATAATAAAGCTATTTATGTTTCAATCAAGAAATCTAATCAAAGGTTTTCGCAATCCTTCCTCATACGCAGCCTCACTTATTTCTTGCTACTTCTGGTGATAGGCCTGCCTGTGGAACACACGGGTATTCCTACCTGTCCACAGCTCAGTGTAAACAGACCAGATATATTCACAGATTAGAAATTACCATCATAGGCCAGGCGGGTAGTTCATGCCCGTAATCCTAGCACTTTAAGAGGCTGAGGCAGGACCATTGCTTGGGCCCAGGAGTTCGAGACCTGACTGGGCAACTTGGCGAGACCCTGTATCTACAAAAAATAGAAAAGTTAGCCAGATATGGTGCCGCATGCCTGTAGTTCCAGCTAGTTGGGAGGTTGAGGCAGGAGGATTGCTTCAGTCTGGGAGTTCAAGGCTACAGTGAGCCATGTTCGCACCCTGCACTTCAGCCTGGGTGACAGAGGAAGAAAAGAAAGAAAAAAAAAGAAAAGAAATTACCTCAAAAGAAAAAAAAGAAAAGAAATTACCCTTATAGACGTTTTACTGCTGCAAACATGTGTATACATGTGTTTGAGTACCTTTTTTCAGTTCTTCTGAGCATATACCTAAGAGTGGAATTGCTGGTCATATGGTAATATTTTAATTTTTTGAGGAACTGCCAGCCTCTTTTCCTTAGTGGCTGAACCATTTTACGTTTCCACCAGCAGTGTATGAGGGTTTCAGTTTTTCCACATCCTAACACTTGTTGTTTTCCTTTTTTAAAAAAATTACAGACCAGACGAGGTAGCTCACACCTGTAATCCCAGAGCTTTGGGAGGCTGAGGTGGGTGGATCGCCTGAGCTCAGGAGTTTGAGCCCACCCTGGGCAACATGGTGAAACCCCATCTCTACTAAAATACAAAAAATTAGCTGGGCATGGTGGCACGCACCTGTAGTCCCAGCTACTCGGGAGGCTGGGGCACGAGACTCACTTGAGCCCAAGAGGCAGAGGTTGCAGTGATCTGAGACCGTGCCACTGCACTCCAGCTTAGGCTACAGAATGACACTCTATCTCAAAAAGAAAAAAAAAAAGGGTCATTGGCTCATGCGTGTAATCCCAACAATTCAGGAAGCCAACGTGGGAGGATCATGTGAGCCCAGGAGTTTGAGACCAACCTGGGCAATATAGTGGCACCCTGTCTCTACAG